TGTGGTTGCCTCTTGCATACCCACTGCTGGGGGCCTGGCCTGCAACCCAGGCATGTGCCCTGACTGGGAATCGAACTGGTGGCCCTTTGATTTGCAGGCCCGCACTCAATCCACTGAGCCACATCAGCCAGGGTATTAGGACATTTTTGAATGAATGAGGGTGATGTGCTGCTGGTTGGCCTTTGTTCAGCATGATAACTGCCTAGCCAGAGGGCCTTGGAGGCTCATATGGTGGTCCACCACCCCAGCTTCACAGATGGCAGCATCTCCGTCTGCATGTCTTGGCTCCTAGTCCTTTGTTCTTTCTACTTCATCATCCTGCTGTCCCAAAAGGCCAATGTACAGCCATTTAAAGTATCTATTAACTTAAACACAGTCTTTTATCATCGAAATTTTGATTAATCATTGACCCCTTTGATATTGGTATAAAATAAACTTTGCTTCTCCTCTGAGATAGATGCATGTAGCTAGCTCCTAAAGGGAATTTGGTATAGCCCATGGTGATTTCTTTTTGCAGCTAAACATTAATTCTGTTGTCAGCCGCTCCACCTTTGCATGTACATGTTTGGAAGCAGTCTGGGTAGCAAAGATTCCCTTAGCGCTTATGAAACAGTTGTGTTAATATACCAGACGTACTTTAATCATCTTTGCAGGACTAATCATACAGATCTGTCAGCTCAACTGCTTCCTTGTGCTTTCTTGGATCCTGCCATTTGGAAGCTGGTAAACAATGACTCCCTTTGAGGTCATTGGTTCTCTTTTTTTTTTTCAGAGGGGAGGGTGGAAGTGGGGAGTGTATTGTAAAAGGCAGGCTGTGACTTCTGAGCTTTTAGGAAAGTTGATGTTTTACTAACTCCTTACTGTCTTAAGAGTAGACTTATATATATGTTTTCTCCTGTAAATAAGAAGGGTAAATACTGTGTCTTCGTGAAGCTCCTCCCACAAATATATGCAATGTTATTCCTGGAATCAGATGGACACAATTTCTTGGCCCCTTGCTTTTCACAGTGATGTGTTTGTTTTCATGTTTATTTATTTATTTTTTTACCAAGTATTTTGCAAGATTTTGGCCTCTTACCTTTTAATATGTAAAAAATAAATAAAAGTAAGGTATACAACAATGTAGGTGAGTCTACATTTTACTCTTGTTAGAATATTAAATACATACAATGTACAGTGATTATTTGCAATAGATTGATATCTTGGGGAAAGGAGTTAGTTTATGCATTCTGTGAAGAAAGTAAAAATTATAAGTTCAAAATATAGGCACATTTACATTAAAAAATCCCTTGAGTCACCCAGAAAATATGGCTGCATGGAGAGTGTACACAGCGCCGTGCAGTAATTCTTATGCCAGTGCAGTTTGTGATCCATTGAGCCAAGTCCAAGGGTGGTCAGGGGTTTTGGAAGGTATCTGGGTCATATTCATGAGAGTTTCTAGTGCGGAGTGGGGACTGGAAAATCCCAGCCTGACCTGGCTTGCATGCAGGCTTTATGCCATCATGTTTTTATTTTTATTTATTTATTTATTTTTAATATTTTATTTATTTATCTTTAGAGAGGAAGGGAAGGAGAGAAGGAGAGAAATATCAATGTATGGTTGCCTCTCATGAGTCCCCTGCTGGGAACTGGCCTGCAACCTAGGCATGTGCCCTGACTGGGAATGGAACCGCAATCGTTGCCATCATGTTTTTAACACAAAGACCCCTTATCTCAACACTGGCTATTAAGCTTGCTCATTTTGGAGAGGGCTCAATGAGATAATACATATGGCAGCCTCTAATGCGGCACCCTGCACGGGCACAGTAGATGCTCAAGAAGGTGGCTGCTCCTGACACAGCTGGATCCATTCCACTGTCACACTTTTTGGAAAGGCGTCCAGGAAAACCCGGTCACCTGCTTCCTGCCTCCGCCAATTGGCATCACTGGTGGTGACTGTCTCTGAGCCGCTTTCCTTCACTCCCGATTATCTGACTTCAGTTTTTGTGAATTAAATCATGAATATTCAAGGTACCCTAAGATGATGTCACATCATTTCCAGGAATGTCAGGTAGGGGGAGCCTCAGCATAATAAATCCTTAAATTTTAAAAACTTCAAACATACTCCTTTTATGTATAGCATTTTGCTGTTGTAAACAAACCTCTAATTCCTTTTCCCATTCTCCTGCGGAAACTTGCGGCTCATGTCCGTCCAACTCCAAAAGCAGTTGCAGAGGAAAATGACTTGAATCTTGCAGATGACTTTATTAGAGTGAATTGTTCAGCGTCTCTTGTGTTTGGTTAATAAAACTTTCATTTTATTTTATTTTTTATTTCTAAGCATTGTCCAATGGGTGGTCTCTCTTGCAGTTTCTCATCCCTGTATTATCCCTTAGTGTGATTTATTTTCTCCTGATTATATTAGTTCTGGGAACAAATATATATGACACTTCCCAAACTAATGCGTACGCTTTTTAAGTGGCTACAACTTTGTTTTAGTAGTATATTCTTGGTGCCTGGAACAGTGCCTCGCGTGGTAGTTACTGAAAAAATTAAATGAAAAATAAGGAGTTTTTACTGTTACTTAAACTGATACTGTTAGACTTAATAAATAAATATAAAAATCATGTAAAAGTGTGAGTTTCTGAGTTAACTATACTCTTTGGGAATTTGACAGATAACAAAGTGATAACTGAAAACTTTGATCACTGTCCTTTCCTGGTGATTACAAGCCTACCTTCTTTCAAAGTTTAGTCCTCTTTCAACCACTTAACATTGTGTTTACAGTATTCAGTCAGGATGTGTTGATAAGTGTAAAATGGGTGAACTAGGACTATAGTAAAGGAAGTACTCTTATTTTACCTTACTGTGAAAGTTCTAGTTCACACACAACATACACACATGTACACAATTCAGGGCATCTTTGTGAATTTTAAATATTTAAAAAATTTTTTAAATTGAATTTATTGGGGTGACATGGTTAATAAAATCATATAGGTTTCGGGGGTAGGATTCTATGATACATCATCTATATATTGTAGTATGTATTCACCATCTCAAGTGAAGTCTCCTCTCATCACCGTTTATCCCCCCATACCCTCCTCTCCCTCCTCCTGTCCTACCTTTCCCTCTGGTAATCACCAAACTGTCATCTTTTCTATGAGGAAGTACTACTTTTGCTTCATGGGGGGTGCAGTTTTTCATCCCTCATGCTTATAAGTGAGGCCCCTTGCCAAGGAACAGAATAGCTAAACCTGACTGTCCATAATGGACCTGAACTTCAAGAGACACTGAAGTCTAAACTTGGAGAAAGCAGTCATAGTTTTGAGCAATTTCTTTCTGGGGTAAAAATGAACAAATGAATACATATTTTAAAAGCCATGTTTTTTATTGGTTGTCAAGACTGCAGTTGCCAGGATGGAAGTGTGAGTGACAGTTTGTGGCAGGGGGCATGATGAGGTGTGAGGCTGCTGAGGACTAAGACTGGTCTTCACAAATAAGAAGTAAGGTTTATTTTCCAAACTGATCCCTGAGGTCAATGAGGTTTATCTTCCAACTCATTTCTTCATTCAGCAAATATTTATTGAGGGCCTGCCATGTGCCAGACACTGTGCTAGGTAGTAGAGATACAGGAATGACTTAAATAGATGATGTTCCAGCTCTTATAGAGCCTCTGGTCTAATCCAGTGTCCTTTGGGGGCCACACATGTCTCTAAGAATGTGTGAAAGTGAAAGACTCCTTTCTCTGAAAATCGAAGTCAGTCAACCTCAACAGTCAGTCAGTCAGTCAACCTCTTGTGTGTGTGCAGCTGTGCAGGATTGGGGAGACTCACCGAGTTTTGCATACTATTTCCTGGGGTTCAGAAAACTGACAGGTCAAGTTGGCTGCTCTCACCTCCCCTTAGCACCTTATGAGGTCTTGGATATGACTTCCTGTAATTTCCAGATTTGATCTCATGATGAAGCAGTACACCTCTGTGGAAAGGAGCCCAAGGGGCACTCGGTAGGCCCGAGTCAGCAGCCACTCTGTCCAGTGGCTTTGAGGAAGTCCCTGTTGTTCTCTAAGTCTCTCGTTTTGCATCTGGGCAGTGGAAGGGGTTGGATCTGAGTAACCTGGGTGGTTTGAGTGTGGGCTGGATGGACAGGCTTTGAAGGCAACATAGAGTGTCTGTGAGTAAATTATAGTCCCAGCACTCATTAGCTGGCTGATTTTGAGCAATTATTTACTTTATCTGAGCCTTATTTCTCACATGTGAAAAGGAAAAAACAGCATATAGCTCATGGAATACTTTTGAGAATTAAACTGAAATGATGCATATAAACTGCGTGGGACAGAAATGGAAACTTTCAGCAGCCTTATATCCAAGTTGTCTCTCAGGGCAATTTGGTCAATAAATGAGCTCTTTATTGAGGACCTGGTGTAGAATACGAGGGTACTGCCATCATTATAGTCCTGTGACCTTAACCCCGCTGCTGGGCAGTGGTTCAGCATAGTACTGAAGGAAGCCCTCTGCATCAGGCCTGGTTTAATTTCCTGGCTCTCCCACCCACTAGCTGGGTGAGCCTAAGCTTTCTGACCTTTGTTCGGGTTCCATTTCTGAGAGGTGGGACAGTGACATTACACAACCCAGTCAGAATGAGAGGCTATTAAGGGATTTAAATAAGACTGTGCAAGTAAAGCATTGAGCACAGTGCCTGGCACAAAAGAACACTCTTGATTGAATAAGGCTGGTTCAATATTAATAATATTATTTATTGACTCGTTTAACTTAACCTCACCCTCTGTATCACGGGCTAGGTTGGATCTGAGGAAGGTTCCGCCCGGATTTTCTCAAGGCCCCGCTGATGAGAGCATTTTGCTTACTGAGGTCGAAACAGTAAATTCAAGACCCTTGATAAAAAAGTGGACTTAGACATCACTGGGAAAATGTTTCCTGTTCCTCACATCACTGAGGTTACTATGAAATAACTCACTTTGGTAAAAAGTGGGTAGTGATTCTTCTTTATGTGCTCCCTTTCAGTACCCAAACCCCATGGATAAAAATGTCATCTCTGTCAGAACAGTGGAGGAAAGAAGAGGTAAGTTCTCTGAATCGACCTCGCTTCAGCAGCGATCATTCAATGATGCCGATTTTTGTGAAAGATGTGTATTTGTGTGTGTGGCCTATTATGTGTTAGACAGGTGTGTCTCTGTATCTGAGGTCACTGATGGAAAAGAGCACCAGCAGTAACAGCAAGAGAAGAATTGCCTACTATGTTCTTGTCTCTGTCTCAGTTAATCATTGACGACAGTTTTAACAGCTAACATTTTTGAGCACTTAATAAGTGCCATGCACATTTTCTTTTATTAACTCAATCTTCAGCACAGTGTATGGGGTAGGTATTATTACTCCTTTTTAATGAACAAAGAAACCAGAACAGAGAAAGAAAGAACTTGCCCAAGGTTGCATGGCTAGATCCCGATATCGTATATTATTTTATAGATGGCAAGTGGATATGATTAATAGCACATATATGAGATGTGATTGATTGTAAAGCAATTAAATTGTAGAGTCACACCTGTACTTAATATGGTTCATTATTGACTAGAGCAGGGGTTAATAGATTATGCTTGTGTGATCTGCTGTTGTAAATAAAGTTTTATTGGCACTCAGCCATGCCTGTTTATTTAGATTGGCTGCTTTCTTGTGGCAACAGCAGAGTTGAGTTGTTGCAGCATAGACTACATGGCTCATGAGCCCTAAACCATTTACCCTTTGCTGAAAATGTTTACTGATCCCTGGACTAGAGTAAGGGAATCTTAACTGTTTACTGCACTTCTGTAACTCTTACAAATATATTAAAAAAAACATTTTCTCAGGTACTGCACTCAGCGTGGAAGGAACTTGTTATTTGGCATCAGAGAAATCTGATTTTGAGTCCTGATTTTGTTACTATCTATGTAACCTAACTTCTTGCAGCCTCAATTTCTTCATCTGTTAAATGGGCAGGTAATAAACCTGGTTTTAGATTGTTGTGAAGATCCAATGAGAGAACAATGGACATATTCCAGAGTGGTATAGGAATGATAATTAGGATTGCAACCAGTGACAAGGGCATGTTGGCTGCCAGGAGTGGCTCGTCCACTTTCAGGATGTGTCCTGCAAACACTGGAGGAGACAGCCCAAGGGGTGCCAGGTGTCAGAGAAGACGAACCAGTTTCTTACCCTTTCAGCAGCTTTGTAACAGTCAGACGCTCGTTTGTACTGAGACCCAGTGATCCTATAGCCAGAGCTGTGGGAAACCTCCTAGGGAGTGGCTGAGACAGTCACTCACAGAGCAAACGGCAACACTTCAAAGTTTGTCTTTTTCTCTAACATGGTCTCCCTTTATGGTAACTTACATTTATTGATTTTTTTATACCCCTGGTGCTATTCTGGAAACTTCCTTCCAAAACAGAGTAGTTCCAGCCACAGGAAGCCTGTGAAAGAAAAGTATGCTTAATATAATTAATTACAAGTTTAAAATTTGTATCCAGAAGTCTGGGCTTGAAAACATGTTTGGTTCAGAAGGTGGCAGAACCTGGCTCTTTCCCTTTTTCTCTCTCTCGATAAACATTCTCTTTGTGTCAGTTGAGCAGGGGGATTATTGGCCATTGTCATTGGAGTGCATAGCAGTGACCAATTTGTGATTCTTTCATCCTTGACTTGAGATGTGCACTTGTGAGTGGTTGTTGTACATGTATTCCTTGATCACAGATGAGTATATTTGAAGTGAACTGGCCCAGAAAAGTGGTCAGAGACACTAAGTGTTCAGTTAAACATTTTCTTTAGGATTTCTACCTCTAGAAAATTGAGGCTGATATTAAAAGTTTTATTGATCTTGAGACAAAGAGTACATTTCCTTAAATATTTCTTTGAGTGTAAAATTTTCTGTTTCTAGATGTATCAACAGGAGTCATCTATAGAAAGAGGATAGCACTCTGTCGAAATGTGGTTCCAGAAATTTTAAGGAAGGTAAATTCATTTCAAAACTTTACCAGCTTTGGTGTAACATTGGGTAATTTTCCAATAGTCATGAAAAGAGCATTCTCTGATGGAAAGGAGTGCTAGAACTTTCCCAGCTCGCCTACCTCATAGCCCTTCAGAGGAAGAAAGGCCCTTCATTTCCAACCTTGGTTCTGGCAGATGCCACTGGAGAGAGCTTTTCCCTCTGTTCCCATATGTCTCTCTTTTGTGGAAGGCCCTTAGGGGACATGGAGCTGGTCTACAATTATTTTGAAGATGCCTTGGACATTTTACATGAAGTGACCATCTTTCCCTATCTGTCCTGGTCAGATATGACCCTTAGGTAAGAATGATCCGATGGTAAATATTTAGTGAGATCTTTAGTAAGGGAGATTAAAGCTTCCTTTTTATTTCACTGTCAGAGAACCATTTCAGGGAGTATAATGTTCTCAGTGCTCTCTGTAAGCCCTTTTCTGTATGTTTCTGCAAAGTGATGGCCTTACTCACTAAATCTTCACAATGGCAAATTGTTTTCTCTCTTTGAAATCCTTCAGCACACCTGGTGATTGTTGAGGACAAGGTAAGTGGAAATTTTTAATCACATTGCTTAGAATCATTAGGAAGTAAGAGGAGACTGTCCTGATTTACACTTTTACAAATGTCTCAGATGATTGTTTCAATCCGGAAGTGATTCTACCTGTGATGTGGAACCCAGCGGGGCTCCTGCCTATTAGCTTGCAAATTACATTGCTGAGCTGTTTGTAGAGTGAGTGTTGGCTTCTGTCACTTCCTTATCACGAAGACACTGCCGCATTCTTGTGTGGATAGAAGGGTGATAGGACAGTGAAAAGGAACTTTCTTTTATTTTTCAGATGGTAAAATGTGTTGCAATATGGGCAGCAAATTATTCAGGGCGTTTTCCACAGAGTGTGTGCCCTGCCTGCTTTGCCCTATATATACACCTTGAATCTGTTTTTTAGAAAGGCATTCCACTTTGTGTTGTATCTCAATTCTTAAATAATTTAAGGACACTTCTGAACTTCTACAGTTCTGCCTTTGTTTTTTTCCATGTCTCTTCCACCTAGGAAAGCATACGTTTCTAGGTATTGAACAGAGTTTAAAATGAAGAGAATATTTTACCTGCTATCGTCCTGCAGGTGAGCCTGTAAATGGGCCCAATTAGAATCCATCAATTTAAGAAGGCCATAACCAGCCCTAGAGGAGACCTGGTGGAGGCTATAATTTGCTTAGTGTTTAGCAGTTAGGGAGCTCAGGCTAGGGACTATGCAGCCTGCTTAAATGCTGGGCTGTCTGCACCTCCTCACCAGCATTTAGTAAGGTCGCAGCATGCCTGATTATGAAGGACTGAGAGCTGTTGGTGAGCCTTCATCCATGTATCAGGATTACTTGTTTTCTTAATTACCCAAGACTGAAAGCGCTTCTGAGCACAACCCTCATGTAGCCTGCTCTTCCTAAACTGAGAAGGCCTTCCTCTCTCTGTTGGACAGGTGAGCATTTTAAAGGTGCCCAATATCCAGTTAGAAGAGGAGTCGTGGCTCAATCCTCAGGAGAGAAACATGGCTATACGGAGTCATTGCCTTACGTGGACCCAGTATGCGTCCATGAAGGAAGAGTCTGTCTTTCGGGAAAGTATGGAGAATCCAAATTGGTAAGGTCACCTCTGTGTGTGTGTGTATGCACGTAGGGTATATACACGTAGGGTGGGTGCAGGGATGCACAAATGCACACATGTATTAAAAAGCTGTGATTTCATCCTTTTAACCTCTGTTTACCACTCACATAAATTACACATTATTAATGTTTAATCACATGAGTAATTAATGAATAGATTTCCCTTTGGAGGGAAAATGATAGTGCTCAATGCCTTTCTGGCCACCCTATTACATCCTGATATCTCTTGCCTTCTCCAGAGGCAACGAGTGATATCACTGTGCTCAGTATTTTTCTAGACTTTTAAGAGATACTTTAAGGTACTTACATGTGTACTCACAGAGCCTGTACACAGTGGTTTTGTATATGATTTTATACATACATACTTTCTGTGTGAATAATTGTGTCCTTACCTTTTTTCCTTAAGAGAATGTTTCTAAACTTTATCCACTATATGTGTAAAATATAGCGTATTCCTTTGAACTGTTGCATCAACTTCAACCTTATAATCATACATATTCTGTTTAGCTTTTGTCTTTTTGACAAACATTCTGGTGGTTTTCAGTTTATTTTTATTACAAACAACTCTGCAATATTGGTAAGGCATGTGATCCTCGTAAGTGCTGCATGAATGTTTCTCTGAAGTAGAATGCTCAACTCTCAGGTTTATTGGGGTATTATTTACATATAATAAAATTTATTCTTTGTAGTGTATAATTCTATGAGTTTTGACAAAGATCTGTACAGATGTGTAACCACTGCCATAGTCGAGCTCATTGGAGCCAGATCATTGGAGGTATATTCTTAAAAGTTGTATGTTAAGACAATTCAATGGGGGAAGAATATTTTTTTCAACAAATGGTGCTGGCACAGTTGAATATTCACAAACAAAAGAATGAAGTTGGTTGTCTACCTCACACAAAGTACAAAGTTAAGTCAAAATGGGTCAAAGATTTAAATGAAAGAGTTAAGACTGTACAACTCTTCGGAGAAAACATAGGTGTAAATCTTTGTAATCTTGGATTGGGCAGTGGTTTCTTAGATATGATACCAAAAAGCCCAAACAACAAAACAAAAATAGGTAAAATTGATGCATCAAAATTTAACACTTTTGTGCTTCAAACGGTACTGTCAAGAAGATGATAAAAGCCATCCAGAGAGTGGGAGAAAATATTTGCAAAGTTTATATCAGATAAGGGTCTAGTATCTTTCATATTGCTATTACAACTTAATAATAAAAAAGACAACTCAATGAAAAGGTGGGCAAAATTTTGAGTAGGTATTTTCTAAAAACCTATACGCATCTGAAAACAAGCATCCAATATGCATCTGAAAATATGCTCAACATAAGTAGTCATTAGGAAGATGCAAATCAAAACCAAAATGAGATACCACTTCCAACATGCTAGGATGGCTATACTGAAAGACACACAATAATAAGTGCTGGAGAGGATGTGGACAAACTGGAACCCGCATATACTGCCAGGAAAGTGCAGCTTTTGCAGAGAACAGTTTGTCAGTGCCTCAAAAGTTAAACAGAGTTATCAGTTGACCCAGCATTTCTACATTGTGTTGAAAGCATGTACACAGAAAAACTTGTCTATGTCCTTATTCATCATAGGAAGAATGTGGAAACAAGCCAGATGTCCATCAACTGATGAAATATAAACAAATGTGGTACACTCATACAATGGAATATTATTCAGCCATAAGAGGAAATGGAGTAATGATTCATGTTACAACATGGATCAAACTTGAAAACATTATGCTAAGTTAAAGAAGCTAGTTACAAATGTCCAGATATTCTATGAGTCATTTTATCTGAAATGTCCGGAGCAGGCATAGGGATAGAAAGTAGATTCCTGCTCTTGGCAAGAAGGTCAGGAGAGTAGGGAATGACTTTGAATGGGTATGGAGTTTATTTTGGGGTGATGAAATGTTCTGGAACTAATGTAGGTGGTTGTACAATTCTGCGAATAAATTAGAACCACTGGGTGAATTTTATGGTATGTGAGTTATATCTCAGTAAAAGAAAGCTGTATGGTGTGTTCTCTGGACACACACATTTTTAGTTTATACAAATTCTGTCAAATTTCCTCCAATGTGTTAATACATTGATTTATACTCTCATCAACACTACCTGAGCATTTATCTCCCTACAATATTGCCAGCACTTAATATTAACATACTTTTCAATTTTGCCAATATAATGAATGAGAAGTGATTATTTTGAGATAGGTTTAAAAATAGAAGTATAATATAACAAGCCCCAAATGTGAATGGTGGTTGTTACTGTGAACTGTGACTTCAGAGGGTAATTTACTACATTTTTTGGTATTGTCCTGTATGGTCTGAAATTTTAAAAAATTGTATACCTATCATTTTAGTGGAAACATTAAGACCCTCAAATCTAAATAACTAAAGCCCCAAAATCTAAATTCATTCTAAAACTCTGTCACTTGTCCAAATCATTACTGTTCCCCACAATTCTAGATATGCTGTGATACTTCCAGAATGCAATACCCTGAATGGGTGTGAATGCCAAGTCTTAAATGCATCTGATGGGTTTTCTTTGAACAGCACATTAGTTATTGTTTTTTTTCTCAGTCTCCCTCCTGACAAGAACCTCACATGGAACTTAGATATTTGGAATTAAGCATAGCCAGAGAATAGAGCCTTTTTAAATATATAGAGAGGTAAAAGGACAGAATTGTCTCATTTTATACAAAAAACACAAAAGTCTTTCATTTCATGTACTTTGTTTCAGCCTTGATTTTCTCAGTTATCCTGGCCATTGGCTGGCCTGAGAAGCAGAACCAAACCTTCATCAGTGAGATGTAAAATAATTGGCTCTCGGAGTTTAGGGAAGACATTCTTCAGGATCTTTTTCCTTTGTGTATTTTTTAAATCTTATTTTTTAAATTGTCACTCTTATTCTGGAAAAAATGATACATGCATCTTATAAAAAATATTAAACAGTTCTGGAAAACAAAGAACTAATTGGCATCACCTAGCAATAGTGTGCATGATGTTCTTGGCTCATTTCTAATAGGCATTTGGGTTTTTGGCCATTACAAGCAATGCCATGATGAAATCCCCATGATTACATATTTCCCCACTTACTCAATGACCTTTTAAAGTAGATGGAGCAAAATGGGATTTCTGGGTCAAAGGTTACATGCATTTAATCTTTTTATACATGTTACCAGATTCCTCTATAGAAAGATGTGACTGATTATACTTTCCTTTTTTATTTGGTTTGTTATATTCTTGTTGTCTCCAACACACTCTTTCAGATTTCTGACACAGTAGGCCAATATTTATTGACACTTGCTATGTCAAGGTCAAAGCTAGATTTTTCACCGGCAGTGTTTTGAAGTTTAGGTTAAATAATTTGCTCAAGGTGATAGAGTCAGTGAGTTGCCAGGATGTGAATCCAGTTGTCATGGACTTGATACCTGAGCAAAGAGTTTGGTAGCAATAGGGACTCTTCTAAAGAATGGATTATAGGAAACTGTAGGGTGTTTTGGATCCCAGGCTACATATGAATGGTGGGTTTTGTCTTTTTAGCAACATGTAGCCACACGAAGGTTTCTGAGGAAGGGATGATGTGATGCTAGCTGTGAGCCAGACTCTAGGAAACATATTTTTTTAGCTCTTGACATGGATTTAGAAAGGCACTTTAGGCAGGTGTTCTGAGTGAGGTAATCTTGGGGGGATGGCAAAGAAAGGACACATGATTATTTTCATTCCCTCCTTTACCAGGGAACATGAGAGTAATGGCCAGCCACAGCACCCGGTGATGAAATATGGACAGTTTGTTTAAAAGAAAGAAAAACAGCTGTCACAGCTGCTGAGTCTAAAATTAGACCTGGACACTATGTATTGGTTAGCAGGTGTGGGTGTGTGATGGGAAACCAGATGTCATCCTGCCCTTGAGCGTGGCCTGTCCTCACTTCCGAGGTGAGCTTGCAGCGGGCCTCCTGTGGACCCTGCGCCTGCTGTGTCTCTGTGCGCAGACCCAGTTTGGGCTTCCTGCTGACGCCATCGCGGTCCCTCCTTACTCAAGAGCCCCTCAGCCTTCCCCGCTCTGTCATCATACAATGGTTTTCTAATGTGCTTGCTTCCTGTATTGACTTCCCTGGGCATTTTCTTCCTGCAGTTTTTAGAAAGTGGACTTTGTATCCTTTTTGAGAGATGATGTGATGTTTTCCACTTTCATCCCACTTTTCAGGAGCCCATCTTGGCACTCGGTGCCCCAGAGAAGCCCTCCTGCACTTATTCTGTGCCTTCTGCCCTATCAGTCAGGCTGCCTCTCAGCGCCAGCCACCGAAGTCCTGGCTCAGGCAGTGCCAGCTGGCACTTACATATGTTTGCTGTGTGCCAGCCACTGTTTTAAATGCTTGATATGTGTATGTGTATATTTGTACACACAGATACCTGCATGTCTATGGGTATAGATTTATTTAACCTTCACTAGAACCTATATCATTGGAACTGTTATCATCCTCAGGTTACAAACGGCAGTAACTTGCACAAGGTAAGATGACCACTAAATGTCAGAGCCAGATTCAAACCTAGGCAGTTTGGCTCCAGAATCCCTGCTGTTGGCCATGACTCTGCCCTTCCTATTAGAGAGGAACTGTATTATCTCATAACGAGGTGCCCTGTGGTTCCAGAGCCCCTGTGTATCAATTGTTTTTCAAGTTGGGTTTCCTCATGGCTGCCAGTGGCAACTAGGGTTATCATACTTCTTTGTCCACCTTTAGTGAGGAAAAGGAACCTGTGAGAGGGAGAGAGCCTGTTTCCCAACTGAAGTCCGGCCTCTAAATCTGTTCAACTGTCCCCTCCTGGACCATTAAAGGGGATCAGAGGACTGATAGGGGCCGATTGGCTCTGACCAGTCCAGATTGGCTCCCAGAGCTGGGGGTCGTCAGGTCAATTCCCCTTGAAACGGACGGGCTGCACGGGAGAGGGATGGATACTTGTACAAAAATA